AAGGCTGACTAAGGATTTGTCAATTTTGTTTATTCTTTTGAAGAACCAACTCTTGGTTTCATTGATTTTTTTTGTATCATTCCTTTACTCTCCATTGCATTGATTTCTGCTTTGATCTTTATAATTTCCTCCTTTGTATGAGCTTTGGGTTTGTCCTGCTCTTCTTTTTCTAGAAGCTTGAGGTTCCATATCAGGTTGTGTGATTGAGCTTGCTCTATTTTCATAATATGAGGATTTTCTGCTATGAATTTCCCGTATAAGACTGCTTTCATCATGCCCCACAGATTCTGATAGGTTGTATTTTATCAGGCCTCTCAAAGTTAAAGACCCGATCCAAAACTGAGTATCTGCAATGAACAGACATTTCTCAGGCAAAGTAATAGAAATAGCAAATAATCATATGAAAAAAATTTTAACATCACTGGTCATTCAAGAGAGGTGAATGAAAACAGTGCTGAGATTCCACCTCACCCTAGAAAGAATGGCTGCTAGCATGAAATCAACCAATAACAAATGCTGGGGGAGGCAGTAGAGAAAGAACACTGCTCCACTGCTTGTGAGAGTGTAGACTGGTGCAACCATTGTGGAAGTCAGTATGGAGATACCCTAAAGAACCAGAATTGGAAGTTCCATTTAGCCCAGTGATTCCCCTGCTGGTTATCTTCCCAAAAGAATTTTTTTTTAGGTTGGTATTATAGCACTCATTAAAATAATGCTATGAATTAATAAAACAGCAAAGAATCAAAGAAGTAAAATGCAAGCTATGTAAATTCCCAATTAAAACCCAAAAGTGTCTAATGTATTCATTCATTAGCTAACTAAAGCCCAAAAAAAGACAAGACACCCGGTATAATAAAGTACTGCAAAACAACTGGCAATTTTGTTATCAAATTGTGGATTTTGCATTTTGTATCCCTTTCTCAATCAAGAAAAAAATTCTTTTTGAATATTACATAATATACATATCAAACAAGATAGAAAAATACATTATAAACTTATAACAATTGCTGTAAATACATTATCTGACATGTTTCTCATAGGCAATAGGTTGGTTATGGTACTACTATGTAGTATGAAACTACTATGGTAATAAAGAATAGACAAAAAAACACATGTCAGCTGTACGGTAACATACAAGCAACACTCCCCTCCACCCACGCTAAAAAATTACATAATACTTTCAGAAAAATGTCCTAAAAGCTACAATTAATAAGAAATAAATTCAAAAAATAATAATACTGAGAATCAAGGCATTCAGAGATTTCAAGTCATGCTTTTTTTTTCAGTTGATCCAAAAATCTGTCAGCTAAATTTTTAAGTTTGTTCTGAGTCAACATTAATTGCTTATAAATGTCACACACTTATTATTTCATACATTTACTTTCTTCCCCATAAAAGACCTTTGATAAACATCTAACTGTCCAGGTATAACACAGTTGAGATGAAATTGGATCAAATACTGGTATAAAGTCCTATCGCCTCAAGTGTTTGAGTGTTGCAAATTTATTCAACCAACTAAACACAATAAAAATCAAAATGGCAGAGCATATACTGTAAATAAATCAAAACTGTCAACAGTGTAACAGAAAGACAAAACAGCAGCACATTAAACCAAAGCTAGCAGAGTACAAAAGAACGACTATCTAGTGCCTAGTAAATAAACTGAAAACAGTTCCGAGTGAGACGAGACAATGAAGAGGTCACCATGAAGGAGCTGACTGAGCTTCCTGCTGACTTTGACTGTGAAGGTTTGAAGGTGTGGGAGAGGGAACAAGTTGACGAGTTAGAAGTCCACTATCACTTGAGATCTGCCATATTTGGTACTGAAGAGTGAACCACTGTTTCCTCAAGTGTTTAGGTGTAGGCTTTGTGCACAAATTGTTTCAACTACAAAACTGACTGAACTTCCTAAGAAACTGAAAGCTTAAACTGAAATACAGTTAAGTGTTTATATACAAATAAAAAAGAATCATACCACAGTGATATATGTGCACCCATGTTCATAGCAGCACAGCTTGGAACAGCTAAAACTTGGAAGCAGCCCAACTGCCCATCAATGGGAGACTGGATAAAGAAAAAAATTTTTTAATAAAATGGAGCACTACTCAGCCATAAAGAATGAGAAACTAGAGACATTTATAGCTAAAGGGATGCACATTGAGGTGATACTCTTAAGTGAAATAAATAGGACACATATATGCAAATACCAAATAGTTTCCCTATGAGAACTGAAAGTGTAAATAAGGACTAAAAGGCATAATAGCTATTGTGAAATAGGAAGAAAAGGTGCAAAGGGGAAGGGGAAGTGGGAGGGGCAGGGGAAAAGAAAGAAGGGAATGGAATTAATATGAGAAAATGAAAAAATGGAAACAAAGTCTTTGTAAATAGGGAGGGGTGGAGGGGTTGAAGGGAGGACAGGGGGATAGGGAAAAACATAAGAAGCCAGATGGATTATGTAAAGTTGCAAATTGCTAATGATGAATGTCATTATATTGCATACCTTAAATATACTGATAAATTAATAAATTTTAAAAATCCAAAGAAGCAAACAAAAAAAACACAAATCATTAGAGACTAGTAAAAGAAGGAATTAGATCTGTATCAGGAAATGAAGACAATTCTAAAATATTCATCATGAAAACAATGGCAATATATATTTCTTTGACTGCTCATTCCTGCTTTTCTGCCCTCCATAATGAGGCTCACCTGACACACAGGTGGTCCTCCTGGGCTACCTGGAGTGGAAGGAAGGGCAGAGGCAGATAAAGGGTCTTGCAGAGAAGAAGCAGAAAAGGAAGATAATGAATGACTAAAATTTTGAAAAGACACCTCCAAAATAGATCACAGTATGCCTGAGATAATCTCACCTCTGTCAAACAATGTATGTAGATAGATATGTGTCCATGAAAAGGATGCAAAAATGTCCACAAATGATTAATGGGTCAGGGTTGGTAGTCTTTCAACTGAAACTTTTGGATCATTCTTACATTTCTATTCAGTATCCAAGTTATTCTAAAAAGCACACACTAATTACATAAATGTAAACAGAACTCTTTTCATAGTGAGAAAAGAAAGCTCATAAATGGAGGAGATTGAACTTTAGAGGCAATGAGTCTTAGCTGCAGAGGTAGGCATCTGTCCTCTCAAATCTTGGAACAGATTACATTTTTTTCTGAAAAGGCAATGGAACATGAGGCAATTACTTAAAACAGAAAAACACTGAACCAATAAGCACAAGGCTGCTTCAATATCCTAAGCTGGTTCCCTTAATATTACAGCGTAAACCAAAATACTCCCTTTGTAATCCCTCTCTCTGTAAGACTATCCAGCCACATAAGTTGAAATCCATTTCTGCCAGGACGCATTCATACTTCATACAAATGAGACAAAGCAAGATCAGCTAAACTGCATTCAAGGAAGGTATTACCATAACTGACCACGGAGCATATGAAGAGGGTAAGTGTTGTATATCTATAAAATTACAGAGTCTGAACAGGAAAGAAATTTTGGAGACAAAGTATTAATCTATGTTTTCATAAATGAGGTAACTAAGTTTAAAAAAAGAAACACTAAAACCAGCATTAGACCTCTGATGGTATTGTTTTGCCTTAGTACATAGTTTTTTGTTTTTGGTTTTTTGTTGTTGTTTTGTTTTTGTTTGTTTGTTTGTTTTGATACCAGGATGGAACTCAGGATCTTGCACTTGCAAGGCAGGCGCAGCACCACTGAGCTAAATTCCTCTACTAGTACTTAGTTTTTTAATGCCCTTTTGTTTCTTAGAGGGGGAAGATAATTCCTGACTTCTGTAAGTCTTTCATTGATAAAGATCATCAAATTAATGAGGCACAAATTACTCATTTTACATGTATAAATAAGTAAAATTTTAAAATCTTTGATAATTCAATAACATTTTATGTAAATAGTAAGGGTTTTTTTCATTTCAACCGGTAATTAATTTATTCACTTATTTAATATATATGTTTTATCACTGTCTATGTGTTGGACACTGACCTCATCCCCAAAAAAGAAAAAGGAAAAATGTGTTGCTGTTATCAGTTATCTCAGATCCCCTATGAAACAGCAAGAAAATTCCAGATTACCAAACAACACAGTGCACAGTAAAAAGGACCGAATCAAAGAGGGATCATAAACTCATTTGACGGAGATAATGAGAGGGAAAGGGAAAGGAGAAGGGTTCCAGAGAAGCATCTCCAAAAGGAGGAAAGGACCAGCCCCGGCGCTAACGTTTCAGGGTGACCTTGCTGAAAAGAGAAGGTCGTGGCAGGCAGAGGAAGCCACACACACAAAGCACAGAGTTTGCTGAAATGCGATGCTCTGGAAGAAAGTAAGTGGCTCTCCCTGGCGAAGCAACGCTTACACGTGTGAACACGGTACAGACAACGGAAGCCAAAGGCAGATGGATGGATCACGCAGGGGACCGTGCCAACCCAGGAGGGTGGTGCTTTATCCAGTGAGAGTGAAAAACTGAAGTCGTGTCATATCTTGCAAAGATATACAATTATTAGATCTAAATTCAAATTTTAAACACTACTAATGGATATTTTTTAAAAAGATGTATAGTACATCTTTATGGTTCTACTGAGATGACATTAAAATTGTCAAAAATGGGTTGGAAGTGAGCAGGGCTAGAGTCAGGGAGACCATTCAGGAAGCTACAGAAATAATCCTAACGGAAGATGGGAATTTAAGCAGTAGTGAGAGAGGGGCATTAATATCTAAGCTAATGTGATGTGTGGTTTCTGTTACATGAGAAATGCAAACTAGAAATAAAGAGCAAAATAAAAGATGGATAATAAGAAATAGAGAGTTGGATCTTTTGCCAATGGAAAGGGGACCAGGAAATGGAGGAAGCGGGGAGGAAGGAATGAAAAAAAATTAAGATGTGTTACGCACGTGTACCAGGTCTCCACAGGGAATGTAATCCTTGTGTATTGCCAGCGTGTACTAAAAACTGAAAAGAAAATAATTAGTTAATATGATTTGATGAGCAATGAGATACAAAAGCTGAGAAAAAGTGAGAGCAGGAAACAAGGGTCCAGGTGTGGATGGCAAAGGAGAAAGCGGAGTTGCTCCCTGAGGTAGCGAATGAAGGAGAAGCAATGGGGGGAGGGGGTAGTTAACTGTGCGGAACAGCAGCAGTTAGGAGCTCCAGGGAGCGCTTCCCAACAGTTTGTCATTCAAATCAGGAAGAAGGAAGAACAGGAGCCGGCAGGCTAAAGTGAGGCAAGGATGGGTCACAGGAAGACACACTGGGGGGAGCGGAGGAGAGGGACAGAGTGCAAGAAGGAAGAGGAGGCTTAAATGAAGCAATTAAACTCTCCCTAGCCCCTGTCTGCACCATCAGATAAGGACGTTTTCCAAGAGTTATTTGTAAGTTCTCTATTCTTCAAGGCAGAGAGAGTTATTAACCTTTTCTAATTGGAATCTGATTTTCTCTAGAATTTAAGAGAAATTTCAGACTGATCAGATTTACAAGTGAGTAAAAAGAGTTGTGATGAGCTTGGGATGACTGTTTCATTGGTAGCCTGGTCACTTTAAAAATGAACGTCCACTTCTAGCCCCCTTATCTCCACCCTGTTTTAGCCATGTATCCGGGGTGTACCTCAGCGGGGGGCCCCGCAGTCACCTATAAAGGCTTCCTTGGCAAATAGCGGTGGTACTGATGGAATACTGGTGCCCCCAATGGTCTTAGGTTGAAGCTCTGGACCCCAGTGTAATAGTCTTTGGAGATTAAAGCCTTTAGTAAATAATTAGAATTACATGAAGTCATATAGGTGGGACCTTCATGACAGGGTTACTGCTCTTCTGAGACACCAGACAGCTTTCTCTCTCTTTCTGGGCACTCACACAGAGATCATGGCACACAGAGATCATCACACAGAGAGGGGGCTGCTGCCTATAAGCTCAGAGAGAGGCCTTAGGATGCAACTTACCTTGCTGGCTCTTGATTCTGGACTTTCCAACCTGGAGAAACTTGGGAAACAGACATCTTAATATTAAGTCTTCTAGTTCCTAAAATGGTATATCCCTCCATTTATTTAGCTTCTCTCTAATCTTTTCTCCCCTTCCATGACCACCGTTAGACCTCTAAGAATCCTTGTGTTGAATGGAATGGGTTGGTATTTCTAAAGCCATGATTTATAGTACAGAAAATGGTCATCCTTTTCAGGTCCCTAATCTCAGTGAAAATGTCTCTAGTATCTGCTAGATCTTAATACTCTGGCTTTAGATCTAAGGTACATGTATTTATAATGTTAAGAATGTGTCCAATTCCTAGCCTCCTCAGTTTTCTTACATCAGAAAAATGCTTTGCATTCTGTTGAGTGTTTTTTCAGCACACATGGAGATTATCGTGATTTTTTTCTTAGACACACTTAACATGGCTGCTGTATTAATGATATTTCCAATACTGAGTCAAACACACAATCATGGAAAACACCCAGCTGATCATGAATTGTTATTATATTGATGTGGTATTGGATTCTGTTGGATGATATTCTATTTAATGTTTCCAACAATATTGATTTTAGTATTCAAAGTTGTACTGGGTAGTTTTAAGTAGTAGTTATTTTGGCATACTTTGTTTTTCTTCTTCAGAAATTCCAATATTATAAAAATTCTGCCATTTTTTCTTCACTCATATTTCTATCACTTTTTTCTGATTCATATTACTTCTTTATCAAATATGTTTTCTTGCTTGTTTTTCTGATTTATCAGTAGCCTTCAACAAATTTCTTAGTGTATATTCCCTTGGGTCCTTGAATGTAATTTATATTTTTGAGATCAATTTTTCTCTGTTTCTTTCCTCCTGAATTTAATCAATTCTTATAATTTCTTTTGTTATAGTTTATTTTTTAAGTTTTTTATTTTTTAGATTAAAACTTGTTTCTTATATCGCAAAGACTTTCAGTATATTTAATCCATTTGTATTTCTGAATTAACGCTTTCTTCTACCTTATGGCTATATTTTGAAGCATGTTGTATCTTCTGATTTTTTTAAATAATTCTATAGGCTTGTTCATTTTTTCCTAGTAATTTTTGCATAATACAAGATCATATGATAATGATATAGATCATATTTTCCCACTTCTTCACTGAAACAGTGATCTTTTCTTGAATAGCAAACACTGTTAATATTATATTATCATCATTTTCGTAAAATGCTTTAAAATATGTTGAACTTTGTTTCAGCATGCAGCTAAGTTTCCTGAGAATGAGTTTGACAGTTTTGCATCACCTTTTATGATCTTCATTGAAGACCCAAACTTTTAATCACCATGGTATGTAACACATATCACGTTTTATAACTTCAAAAGTAACTGGCCTATAGAACTCATGTAGGCAAAAACAGCAGAGGGAGGGTTCTGAAGTTTCCATGAGGCTCAGGATAAGACAATGACAACCTCTAAAGATAGTGAGGACACATGGGGATCATACGCAAAGTAAGGGCAGCAGTTGTGACTTAAATTGTATTAGCTCTTTCTAGAACATAAATATTGCTTGTTTTACTCACTGATTTCATAAGTCACAAGCCACCTATTTCTATTTAAATTCTGTTCTTATACTTTTAATTTTGAGAAGAAAAGCTAGAAGTTGAGGCTAGAGAATTTCTGTGCTCCCAGTAAACCCACTTTCTACATTCTACATCTTAGCTTCATACATGACTTGATGGTCAGGTATCTCCTCCATAGTCAAAATGTGCTCCCCTTTTCCTTCACCAACCACCTAAACCATACTTTTCTTCATGAAAAAATTTGTAAGGAAAATTAGTTAACCTAGACACTTTCTCAGCCCCATCTCTTGGAAAACCCATATGACCTTTCCGCAAGTCTCAGAGAAAAACACCTCCTTGCTTTGGCAGGATTTTCTGGATGTGTTGGGTACCTGTAAAGACTCTGGCTGACCTTGAGGAAGTTCGAGAAAGGTTCTTCCTCAAAGATCCTTGAAGAGCAGCTCATGTACAAAGCTTGAAGCATGATCAGATCTGCCCAGGTATAACTGTCCTTGTAGCTAAATTCTGTTTGTCTTATGAATTAATTTGCCTATGAAATATAATGTGTACAGACCATTTCTCAGTATCACAGGGAACATTATTTGGTGGTCCAGTTTAGTGGCACTATACAAAGTATTTACCACTGGAACACAAGATCTTCCTGCTCCAAGAATTCAAATCACCAGAAGCCAACCACTGGTAATTCCTGGAACAAATCATTTTCTTCTTATGCATATTTTCACCCCTATTGGTTGAATCCGTATCTCGCAAAAGTTCTCGTGTCTGTGGGTTATTATAGAGGCCATCTTGAACGGAAATGACTAGGATCCATCTCCTCAAGATTAGAAAGCTGAACTCACAGATTATTTACCTTGGGGAGCCCCCTGGGATGCTTAGGATGACTAAAAAGTCATAGCAAAGACTGGAGAAACAGAGGCACAGTATTAAACCAAAGTGGGTTTATAACTATTGCCTAGGACCAGGGCCTCTGCTGGGATTCTGTATAGGTCATGCTTATTTACTGTAGAGGGTTGGCAGCTGGGAGCTGTAAACATTGAAATCTTCCCTTCACTTCCCTCAACAATCCTTAACCCCCATGGGGCTGACTCGGGCTAGGGTCCTTTTGATAACTTACAAAATGATACCATATGGGCCAGCAGGGGTTATGGATCTCATAGTTCAATTCTTGACTCAATCGTGACTTTGTAAAAGTATAAGAAAGACTTTCTGATTGAGAAAGGAATAACAAAATACTTTAAATACCTTAAGCAGGAAAGGAAATTAATTAAAGGATTAGATCGGGAAACCAAGAGCAGGATAATGACTGGATCTCAGAAACCCGGAATCTAGCAAGATGTTCCTGTCTTTCCTTGTTTCTCTGTGTTGGCCTCTCACAGTGGACCCTTGAGTTACAACCCACCTGACATACATACAAACAACTTGGGTTTGGACCAGAATTTTATTTTTAACTTAATAACAGAGTTTTGAGTTACAATAGAAGGTCAGTTGCTTGTGCTTCCAGATCGTCTCAGATATAGATTTAGCCCTTTAAGCATTCTGGGAGGAACATGATGACATCCTTTCCTGTATGGGTTAATTGAGAAGTCCTGGGCCAACAGGGGAGAGACTCTGAAGGCTGTGTAGAGGAGGCTGAGCCTTCAATGGACCAACCTGAGTTACAACCAACCCTTGGGAACAAATTGAGTTTGTAAGTCAAGGGTCCACTATACTTTCTTCTTTCTGCATAGAAGCTTGCTCCACAGACCCAAAAGCAAGAATTCCCCAGGTTTACAATTTTTTAAAAAATTTTATTAGTATATGTTTGCACTTCATGCAGTTTACAGTCGTCTTGGGAAATGGTTACAGGTACACACACGGCTTGTTTCTTTTTTCTTTTAATTCCCTTCTCTTCCCTCCTTTCCTTCCCTCTTCCTCTGATCCATTTTTCATTCTTCTTGATATTGTTAATCTTAGCTCATGTTATGGCATAAAACATTTATATTAATTATGGTTTATTAGGTTCCTGTACATGGCACATCTTTTATTCTACTTATTTCCCCTTCCTCCCCTCCTCACCCTTTCCCTTTTTCCCTTGGAATACTTCGTTATTGCAAGAGATCTATCTCCTTGTTCCCTTCTATCCATTCTTTATTATTTTATTTGTTTGTGCTCCGCCTCACTCAAATGAGAGATACTATATGATATTTAAACTTGCTTGTTGGTTATTTCACTAAACATTACATTTTACAGGTACATCCATATGTCTACAAATGTCTCCAATCTGTTATTATTTATAGCAGAGTAGTATTCCATTATATATAAACACCACATTTTCTTTATCCGATCATCTGTTGATGCGTGTTCAGGCAGTTTCCAGGATTTAGCTATTATGAGTTATGGTGCCATAAACATTGCTATGCATGTATCACTGTAGTATAATGACTTCAGCTCTTTGGGGAGGATAACTACTAGGGGGATAGCTGGGTCGTATGGAATTTCTAATTTCAGTTCTTTAAGAAACCTCCATACTGATTGCCATAATGGTTGTACTAGTTACATTCCCACCAACAATAAAGGAACATTCCTTTTCCATCACAACCTCACCAACAACATCTGTTATTGTTTGATTTCTTAATGATTACCATTCTTTCTGGAATAAGGTGGAATTCTGGAGTTGATTTAATTTGTATTTATCTAATGGCCAGAGATATTGAGCATTTATATATATATTTGTTAACCATGTTTAGTTCTCCCTCGGTGGAGTGTCTGTTCATTTCTCTTGTCCATTTCTTGACTGGGTCTTTAATTTGAGGTGGTTTGATTTTTGGAGTTTTTTGTATATTCTAGATATTAGTTCTCTCTCTGAGAAGCAGCTACCAGAATTGTTTTTCCCATTCTGTACATTGTCTCTTCATTCTACTGACTGATTCTTTAGCTGTACAGAAGCTGTTTAGTCTGATATAATCCCATTTGTTGATTCTTGCTGTTGTCTCTTGTGTGATTGAGGTTCTGTTTAAAAAATTCTTTCCTATACTTATGTCCCTAAGAGTTTTACCTATTTCATCTCACCTTAGGTTTAATATTTCATTTTAATGTTTAGATCTTTGATCCATTTTTATTTTAATTTAGTACATGGTGAGAGATAGTTTCAGTATCTGCCCAGCATCGCTTGTTGAATGGGCTCTCTTATCTCCAACATAAGCTTTCAGCCCCTTTGTCAAAGATCAAATTAGCTGAATGTGTCTGGGGAAGCTTCACTATCTTCAGTTCTATTCCAATGACCCACATATCTGTTTTTGTTCCAGTGCTGTGCCATTTTTTATCATTATTGCTTTGTACTATAGCTTGAAGTTAGGTATTGCTATGCCTCTTGCTTTGCTCTTTTTGCCCAAAATTACTTTTGTTATTCTGGGTCTCTTCTGGCCTTGTATAAATTTCAGGATTGTTTAGAAGACCCAATGAACTCCATAAAAAAGCTCTTAGAATTAATAACAAACTTCAGCAATGTGGCAGGATACAAGATCAACACACAAAAATTATTAGTATTTGCATACACCAACAGTAATGGGAGAAGAAGGAAATTAAGAAAATACCATTAATAGTAGCTTCAAGAAAAATGAAATACTTAGGAATTAACCTAAGGAAGTGAAATCCCCCTATGAAGAAAAATACAGTATTCTGAAGAGAACATAAGAAAATTGAAAGATGTTCCCTGCTCCTGGATAGGCTGAACCAATATTGTCAAAATGGCCATACTTCCAAAACTGTTATACAGGTGTAATTCAATCCTAATCAAATACCAACAAGTTTACATCTTACAGCTTTGATACCAAAGGACAAATCATGGACAGTCCAAATTCTGCTCTCAAGTCCAAATTCCTGGGCAAGAGACATACTGGTCCAGGCTGAATGAGATAAGTATGGTACCTACTCTTGAACCAACCAAATGCAGCCAAGATACAAAAAGTCCTTTAAAAAAAGATCATTATTTTGAAACCATATACATGCAGGGGTAAAAAGCTTCCTGAAGAACAGGAATGCCTTTTCATCTGACAGGCAAACAAAATAATTGCCTGTTGAAACTTTAAACAAAGGGAAGGACTAATTAATTACACATAATTGAATCTACTGCCTTGAAAAGCAAAGCAAAAAAAAAAGTGGTTTGCTATTAATAGTCAAAATCATCAAAAATTATTTTCCTTTATTTCTATATCTAAAATCCCTCTCTGTCCTGAATAGCTTTCTTCTTAATGCAGCCTTATTTGCACCCTAAGTATCTTTCTCAACTATCATATTTCACTGATCTACTTCTTGCCTCTCTTGACAGCTTGATTCATATATTTTATTCCTTAGTCTCCTGTTTTTATTAATTATTTTATGAATATATCTCATCTCATTTTCCAAATTTTAAGCTCCTTACATAAATAATAATAATAGCTCACAGCACTAATATTTAAAGATTACTTTTCTTCTATTCTGTGCAACTTAGAGGAGACAGCTGTGCATAGTTTTAGTAATTATATTTGGGAACAACTTCACAGGAATATGAGATTTAGCCCTACTTACACAGAACATACTCATAGTCTCAAAGCAAGCAGATCAAATAAGTGTCAAGGTCACTGATTCTTTCTGGGACATGCACTGAATAATGTGCTAACGAAATTTCCCAAGGCACCAAAATAATATGTGAAGGAAAAATCTCAAGTGCTTTTAAAATATGTCAACCCTTGGTGTCCCATATATAATCACTTCACCTTTTTTTCCTCTGCTTATATAAATCTCAAAAAATAATAAATTAAAGGAAGTTCAAGAGATTTACAGAAAGGAACATTCTTTCAATAAGACAATAGAAGTTTGTGATTCAGCCCAGATCTACAAATCTGAGACTTGTCCCCTGAAGTGTGAAAAAATGATATCAGACTCACAAATTTGAATTAACTGGAATGATGATCACTTTGACTTTGTGAAAAGTAACAATTCTGAAGCATACTTTAAAAGTACAATAACTAGAATCTGACTAACTTATGGTAAAATATTATAAAGAATACCTCATTTGGTGAACTGCTCATGAAGATTTTTGCATTAGTACATTTATCTTTAGGATGCAGAAAATGCTCCCCAAGTGACAGAAACTATCCTTTTTCTTTGGAAAAGGCAAATTTCTTTTTTCATATTTATATAAAATGTTTCTTGAATTCAATGCTTAGTTTTCTCACATTTGTAGAGTACAATATAATTTAACAGCACATTCTCATGTAAAGTGTATGACTTTTCACTCCTTTCACAGTGAAAAAGTAAAGTTTTAAGAGCTTCTGTAGCTTGCCAAGAATAGATGAGGTAAGTAAACTGAGTCACACAAATTCCAAGTCAATGAAATGCAAATAAATATAATTTTACTTTGTTTTTTGCTTGATTTTTCTTAACAGGCATGCATGCTCCTTGGGAAAAGATCAGAAAAAAGAAAAATTGTTAAAATTTTTCACTTCTAGATAAACCCCTA